GTGTGTGTGTGTGTGTGTGTGTGTGTGTGTATGGACTTCAAAGACTATGTGGAAAAATTCCATTCTCTTCTAGTTCCATTTTTCCATGCACCGTTAAAAGATCTTTCATATATATATTCTGCTTGAGGTTTTGGGCATCAAAGAGAAAGAGGGTTTAGACTTGCGCCCCGTCAATGCCAAGCTCAAAAACACAGAAGAAAGGGGATCTAAAAATACACAAGCAAGCAAATAAAATATTTATGGGGCATGCACAGTCAAGAAGGTACTCAGTGTCACTGAGAACAATTTGTGTACAAATTGTTGGATGAGAACCTACACTGTTGTGTAATCCCTTCACTGAAAACACAGTAAGATGTTATTAAAAGTACTACAGTACAGAACTTTACATAAGCTATAAACATTTATGCTAATATATCTGGGCAGTTATGCTAATATATGTATATAGGAGGGCAGTTCGCTGGCAAGAACACATTGTTAGCAGTTGGCTCATTTATATTAAAAAGGCTTCCTTTAAAAAGAACCAAAAAAATTTAGCAAACTCGCAACAAAACCACAATACAAAGTTAAAAAAAAAGAGACAAGTTTTAATGCAAAAAAAAACAAACTTTTCTCTTACCTTTAACAACATAACCCCCAAAGAGAATCCACATAGACGCAATCAGGGATCCAAAAGCCAGCATGAACCCAATAAACAGCCAAATCCGAGCACCTTGAAAGGAAAGACCACTTTACCAGAGTTGCTTCTCCTATGTCCAGTAAGCACAATCAAACCTTCCAACACGAATGCAAAAACCCAGACAGGCTGGACGGACACACACTCATACCTCCCCCAACAAGTTCATGGAATTAAGAACTTTCCCCCAAACTCTAGAAGCCTCCTCAGATACATGTGGCTGTGAAGTTGATTCTGATTCAGTGACCCTACACAGGGTTTCTGAAACTGAATCTCTCTGGAAGCCTGATCTCTCTTCTGAGGAACACTGGGGATTTGAACTTCTGGCTTTGGAGTTAGTAGCCCAACCATTTAAACTGCTTAACATTTGCCCACTGGAATCCGAGTTAAGTGGGATTCTCCATGACTAATTTTCAGTTTAAGGATGTAAGCATATATCGTAAGATGCTGTGTGCTCTGATTTACCTGTTTGGCCCAGACAACCTTCACTGTAACTATCACCGCGGACTTGTCCATTTGATACTGCATTAATCCTGTATAAATAAAATATAACCAAGAATCAGGGTCTCTGCCTCCAGCAAGTAACTATTTGTGACGTCTAATTACCAGATACAATACACTAAAGTTGTTCACATTTAAGGCATACATGTCTAAGGGGTCTTGAATAATGGGTTAATATGACCTTAAGCAAGTCTCTTCCACCAAATGCTCAGATGCAGTGGTTGTGCGCAGCAGAATCAGCATCACTGAGGAACTTGTTAGGGGAAACAACATTTCTAAATGTTCTACCAGAACCTGGACATGAGATCCCAGAAGCTCCAGGAAACAAACAACACTGAGTACGGGAAAAAGTCACATAGGAAGCAAACGAGTGTAGTCTGGATCTGAGGAGGTGCTGGAGTGCAACGTGAGGACGCACATTTGAAGTTTCCCAACACCGAAATGACATAATACTTGGTTTTTCAGGGAACTTTTACAGACTTTTTAACTTTTGTTCAACAGAAATGATTCTATGAAAATGGGACACAGATTATCTGATGTTAAGATATCTTATTCCTCTGCTCAAAACCCTCCAATGGTTTTATCTCAACTCACAATGAGAGCAAAGTCCTTAGAATGCTTTCCCAGACTCTATTCTAGATGCCCTTTCTCCTCTAACTCTCTGATCACATGCATGACTACTTCCCCTGACCACATCACTACAGCCACACTGGCCCCTTGCCCTGCAGCAGCAGTTCTCAGCCTTCCTCATGCCACGACCCTTTTATACAGTTCCTCATGTGGTGGTGGCCCCCCAACCATAACATTATTTCTGTTGCTACTTCATCACTGTCATTTTGCTACTGTTGTGAATTGGGCAACCCCTGGGCAAGGGTCATTTGACCCCCAAAGGGGTCGCGACCCACAGGTTGAAAACCACTGCTCCAAAGCCTTGTCTTTGTTGTCATGTTATGAATCTGTCTTCTTTCTCTCCCACAGCCAAGTCCTCTACCATTTTTCAGCCTTGTTAGAGGTCCTTGATATTTCTAGACTCCCTATTAGTATCTACCCCCTTTCTTTACTTTCTTTTTCCCCTTATCACATTCCATTATCTAACACACTATAGACTCACCTCCTCTCCCTGACACCACTGCCTGCCTCTCTCATTAGATTGCCGATGCCATGAAGGCATGGGTCTTCTCTGCTCTCTGACTCTCTCCGGAAGAGTGTGGATGAAGAAGTAAGCCTTCAGACCAAGTACATGGTTCCCGACGGTAGTTGGGAGAAGGTGGGAGGCAGAAGAAGGAGAAGGAAAAGAGGATTGCTGCTTTTCTTTAGAAGCCATTCTCTATTATGATTTGACTTTAACAATGGCAGATACGCTAGTTTAATAACACTTCAAATTCTAAGTAAATCTGTGAGAGCCGAAACGCAATGGGGCTGTCTCATTATCCAGGTCTCAGGAGTGTTCAGCTTTGGCCAGGTCGCAGACTTAACACTGTGGCGTGGTGCTCTTTTACTGGGAGTATTTGAGTTTTCTCTCTGACAGGCCTTTCCAAGGTCTCCCCGTGCATGCAAACACTCCCGCTTTGTGACAGCCCGTGTGACGAGTGCAGTAGCACTGGCACTTACATTAGGAAGGCGATGGTTGCTATCACACCACAGGCATGGTAGGAGTGGTTGAACTCATCCATAGTGGGATAAATAACAGCTGCATCAATGATAATCCACCAGCCTGTAAAAAACTAAAACCAACAAACAAAATGAAAAGTGGTAAACTCCAAGAGAAGTGACAATAATTTTGTATCTTACAGGTTAGAGAGCAACATCTAGGTGAAGAGACTCCATTGGATGACTTTCAAGTGTCCGGTACAAAATTTGCACATGGCTTAATATATGGTTCTATATTAGATCCTCCTTAAATCTGTCAGCAATTAATATTAACATGTACTTATTTCCCAAGTCCATTTTGATCATATTTGATAAAGACATCATACAGTCTACAATCTAATTTTAGAACTAGGAACAAGTAACAGTATCTTTGGCAAAATAAAGGAATAAAAATTACTCAGGCATCAACCGGCAGAAGTATGATCTACAGCTGATGCATTAAGATAAGCCTTTAGAAAGATATCAGCATCAGCTATGAAGAACAATTATTGTTGGTACATTTTACATTTGATGGCGGTATCGAGAATTGAAGGAAGGAACAAATGTGCAAGCAGGCTTTTCAGTGGGGTGTCCCTCCCTCCCAGGACCACAGTCCAAACAATCGACAGAGTTGTAAGTGTGAAGCTAAATTTAAGTTTAAACAACTCATTGCTATCAAGTCAAAATCCAATTCGCAGCAAACCTACCAGAACAAACACAGTGGTGTCAGGGAGAGGAAGTGAGTCTATAGTGTGTTAGATAATGGAATGTGATAAGGGGAAAAAGAAAGTAAAGAAAGGGGGTAGATACTAATAGGGAGTCTAGAAATATCAAGGACCTCTAACAAGGACCTCTAACAAGGACCTCTATCAAGGACCTCTATCAAGGACCTCCAACTCTGTAATCCTGGAAGCAGCCTAGCAGACCTGTCTCCTCTCGGTTAGCGGTCATGAACTTAACCATTATGCCACCAGGACCCCTCAATGTACATTAAATATAAAATTATAATTTACCTTAATTTAGTTCTGGGTATATCCAGGGCAAATATGTAATGAAAACTATAATGAAAAATGCAGTTATCTCTTATCATCTGGGCAGAAACTACAGTAAGAGGACTGCAGTGAAGAGAAGTTACTTGCTATGGTTCTTTTGTACAGACTTTGCTAACGCCCACACAGTGACAGGGTGTGAGTATGCAAATAGGGTGTAAAGGACTCTCACTCAGAGAATGGTCCGTTTTGTCATTCCAATGGGCACAAAAATGCGCCATCTTACAAACGGGACGAGTGCATCCTGAACCATCAAGAAAGAAATGCAACCAGCGCCTGCACCTGAGATGCCTGCTTGAAGTGGTGGGGCAGCAGAGGGCGCAGCCCGGGCTTGATGAGACAGACCCGAGACAAAGCAGGGGGCTACACACAGGCCAAGAGATGGAGCAGTGGGCTTCCCAGGCCATGGAATGAGTAAAAGTGAGTGTCCTTGGGTGGGAAGGTGGCTGGGGTTTCCCAGCACCAAAGGAGCTCCGTGACACTTGTGCTTGAGCAGAGCAAAGGCCAAGTGGCCTCAGGGCCGATAGGCTGAGGCCCAGAGAGACATGCCTGCCTGCATCAATGAAAGAGGCACTGCTGTGCACAGATGGGCTCACTCTGTCCTTAAAGGTTCCTGACCCTCACTATGCTGGGAAAGATACAGGATAATTACTTTCGTGGCTCATTATGTTGGGAAAAGTACAGGATAATTACTTTCATGGGCTATACATGTCCAGGGTTAGTGAGGAGATCAGAGATTTAAACTCAGATTTTTATTCATTCTTTTATTTCAAATTCATTCTTTAGAGTACATCATACCATAAATTCATAGACCACAAACATCAGCTCCCTTCAGGAATTTGAAGTGAAAATAAGAATTTTATTTACTATAAATTACTTCTAAGTAATATACTTGAGTGAATTTACTGTTATTTTTCTATGAGATTGAGAAGAATGTTAACACTCAATTGCTGAGAAATATTTCTTGACTGACTTGAACGTTTCTGTCTCTTAAACACATCTTGCTAACTTAATGAGGAGTCATAATCCATACAGTAAGTCAATGTATAAAACACAATGTCTCATTATGGCCTTTTTGTTATGCAGCTGAAAAACCCAACCAATTTATTACTTTAACTTTAAAACCTAATTTTAGTTCTCAAAACAGAGCATTTTAACATTTACAAAAATAAGTTCAATGGTCCGAAATAAACAGTACCTATTTTAAAACATCACACGACCTTCAAAACACATAAACACACTACAAAGTCCAAGTACTTACTAGAACACCAGCAGCAATGGAAGCAATGGTATTGCGCTTTTCCCCCCAATCAATGCACTCCGAGCATCTCAGGCCTTCTAGAATCCCAGACATTTTTTCAGGTCACTTAAAAAAGAAAATATTTTTATTTACTTGCTTCAAGTCTGACTGTGTTCCCAGAAGATAATGCACACACGGCCCTGAGATAACTTAATAAAGGTGTTCACATAATTATATATGTAATAAATGTTATAAATATGTAATTACACACAGGGAGTCACACATTCCCACAGTGCCTACTGTTCAAAATTCCTTTTGGCTCCACATACTTCTTCAGAATATATAATGTAGCTTTTGACTAATTTCTATGTTCTAAATTGGGAAAGTAAAATTGGGAACCTTTGGGTAGTTTTTTAAATGTTTCATTGTAGATTGGGTGAAAGTTTGATGAGCTGATCAGTTTTCCATTCAACCATTCAGATTCTCTCTCTCTTTTTAAGTATTTTTTAATATAAAAGATAGTTTTATACAGTTAAGTAAAACGAACAAAGCTAAGTACCCAAGTACCAGAATATTTTTAGTCACTTATTGACCAACTCCTGACAGCTGTCACATATTATTTCCAAGTAGTCTATTAAACTAATTTAGGTAAATCTTCTCATAATTTATTAAAATGCTTATTAAGACACAAGAGCTCCTCTCTATCATTACGACACCAAACTAAGTTACATATTTCGACATGGACAGTTCAGGGCACTAACAGTGGAGAGTCAATGTAGATCTTATCTGGGTTAAGCATGTATTCCGATGAAACGTGCCTCTCTTAGGCAGTTACGCATTTTGTTAGTGTACATGTGTTTCTCCACACTCAGATTAAGAGATGAAACACTGCAGGGGCAGGTTTTACCTCTACCCATAGCACTCCCTTTCACCCCACCTTTTTGGAGTCACTTCTATATAAAGCACATGTATTTTAATTTAAGATTGCGAGATAGGCAGATGATACAACCTTGCTTGCTAAAAGCAAAGACAGCTTGAAGCACTAACTGATGATGATCAACTACTAACGTCGTCAGTGTGGATTTACTCAATGTAAAAACCTCATGACTGGACGGCGTCATGAGAAACAGGGAAGAGATTTAAGTTGTCAAGGAGTTAGTCTTGCTTGGATCCACAATCAATACTCACAGAAGCAGCAGTCAAGAATTCAAATGACGTAACACACTGGGCATATCTGCTGCCCCCCAAAACCAAAAAACCCTCTTTATAGTGTTAAAATGTACGGAGGTCCCTTTGAGGGCTAAGGTTCACCTGCGCCACGCGGGCAATATGTTTAATCGCCTCGTCTGCCTGTGAAAGCTGGATAATGAGCAAGGACGACCACTGGACAAAACAGATCCACTTAAATTGTAGGGCTGTGGAAGAAAACGGAAAATACCATGGACGGCCAGAGAATAACCACGTCTATTTGGAGGAAGCATGGCCAGAATGCCCCTTAGAAACAAGGGTGGCAGCAGTCCATCGCACATTCCTTGGCCATGTTCTTAGGACACATGCTTGGTAGTGTCAGAAAAGAGGAGATGGACTGACCCAGTGGTTGCAACAGTGGGCTCAAGCCTGACACACGTGGGCTGGCAGTGTTTCGTTCTGTTGTACACAGAGAGGGTCTTTACAAGTGGGAGCTGAATCAATGACACCCAACAACAGCGTACAATTCTAACAGATGGGAATACTGAGGTTAATTCTAATTCAGACCCCAAAAGACACTACTACTATTTAAACAGCCGGAAATCAAACCTTCTGCTATCCAATCAATTCTGAATCACAGCAACCTTATAGGTCAGAGCAGAACTGCCCTGCAGGTTCCCAATGCTATTATACATCTTCAAGGATGCAGACTGCCACATCTTTCTCCCAAGGCTGGTGGCTGTGAACCCCTGACCTTTTGGTTGGCAGCCCTATGTTTCAACCACTGTACCACGAGGGCTCCTGCAGTTACCATAAATCCAAACCCACTATCATCAAGTGATTCCAGTTCTTAGCAGAGTCTCAGCTTCATCCTGCATATCCAAATGGTCTTAATGAACCACTTAAAGGAATACTTAAAGTATTCCTAAGACACATCCTCATCTTATCTCTATTTCAGAGTGCAAAAAGTATTATTATATTGATAGCCTGTCAATAATCAAGGAACACCTAAACTGCTAGAGAAAGCTGAATCTACCCACAAAACTGTTACGCTTGTTGAGGAGCCCTGGTGGCACGGTGGGTTACACATGCTGCTAACACAAGGTTGGCTGTTCAAATCCACCTGCCACTCCACTGGCGAAAAACGAGGCTGTCAACTTTCGTAGAGTTGCAGTCTTGGAAACTCAGTTAGGGTCACAGTGCGTCAGAATTTACTAGACAGCAGTGAGTTTGTTTTTTGGAGAAGTATTAAATCCTAAAAAAGGTAAATGAAGTCGAATGATAACCTTGCTTTCTTGCATTAAATATTAAAAACTGTTGATTAAAAGTAGGGCTAACTCTTGGGACAATTATTAGATGCCATTTTGAAAACCCACTCCTTTTATGCTTCCCTGGGAGAAATGGCAGTCCGGTGTACTTTATCATGTGGCAGGAGCGCATGTAGCTTTCTTGACTGCCACACTCTCGCCCAAAGTTGGCCCTCCGGACTCTCGGAATTCGGGGTCCAGAGTGTGGTCAGAGCCTTGGAAGGTCTGGGAAAACTGTTCAGCTTGGTTCCCTCACTGTGTGACCCGGACAGACTACAGGGCTCTCGGGACCTCGGATTCCCCACCTGTCCAAGGCAGGAGGTTGAAATGATTTTGAGGGCTCCTATGCGACCCGGGGGAGGGGGGGGGAGGGCGTGGTCCCACTTCCATCTCCCCTACTAGCCGGGCAGGCAAGGACGTAGGCGCGCCCCCGACCCCCGCCCCTGCAAGCCGGCCTCGGGACGAGAGCTCGGGCCCCGGGGGTGCCCCTGAGAAGAGTTCATAAGCAGCCCGGAGAGAGCCGGCGGAGACCCTGTCAGCACGCCTGCCATCCGCAGTCAGTCCCGGCTCCTAGCCCCAGCCTGGGCGGCCCTTCCCCTTCTCCACACACTGCGTGGGGTACTTACGTCGAACCCAACCTGAACAGGAGGTGCGGGGCCTGCTGTCGCGCCCCGCGGAGCCGCCTCAGTTTCTCCTGGTTTCTGCTCAGAAAACAAAACAGGCACAGGCCTTCGAAAACCCGGATGTCGCAGCACCGCCCCCCGGGGCTCGGCTGCGCACGCGCACGCGCACCCTGGCGGCCCCGCGAGGGGCGGAGCCGGGCCGGAAGTGGGCGGGCTAGGAGGGAGCCACGCCCACCGCGCCCGCTCCGCCGCCCCCTGCAGTTGGCGTCCGTCCGTCTTCGCGGTGCTTGTGAGGACGTTCCCGGAAGAGTTAGTTCGAGAAGTTGCGAGTTGTTCCAAGTTTCGAAAGGAAGGCCCCGGTTCCGCCTTCCTGTCCGACTTGAGTGAGCGTGGACCGCCTGTCGACGCCAAGCGCGTGCGGGCGGGAGAGGCGGGCTCGACGAGGGCGGGCCTCCGCAGGTGGGGAAAGCGCTCGGACTCTAGCCCTGGGGGGTGCACTGTTTGTTTTCTGGCCCCGCCTCCCGGAAAGGGCGGGGCCTCTCCTGTGAGGCGGGGGTCGGCTTCGGGGCGGGGGTCGCTGTAGGCGGCCGGTCACGACTCTCGGCCTTTCCGTGGGTGTGGAGGCCGCGGTTGTAGGCTCCGCGCTGTGGGCAGTGTAAGGGTTTTTGGGGCGCGAAGCGGAATTAAAGATCCAATTGGTAAAGTTTTAGAAGCAG